CCCCCCCCGCAAAAAAAAAAAAAACGCAAGACTCGGCGCCCGACCTGCGGTGTCCAACGGCGGGAGATCCTTGTTGGGGATGCTGGGCTTTCAGGGCACAGGCGTCGGGGTTTAGAGTTTAGGGATTTAGGTTCAGGGTTTAGGGTTTAGGGCTTCGAGATTAGGGTTTAGGGTTTAGGGTGGAGGGCTTAGGGTTTAGGGCTTTGGGATTAGAATTAGGGATTTGGGTTTTGGGATTGGGGTTTAGGCTTTGCGGGGTTTGCAGGGTTTCAGGGCTCAGGAGTTTGGCCCTCTACGGTTTTATAATGCTTGGAAAATATCTCTTTCCGGGGCTTAGTGGCGCTCTATACCGCTTTTTCGTATTTTGTTGCACAGGAGCCTTCACAATCAGAATAGGGTTCCTTGAAAGGGTTCTCTAAAGGATTTCATCAGGGTTACTTCGAAGGATAAAGGTTTTATAAGGCCCAGAATACTTAGAACAGGATTCTGGTGGAAACTACAGTCTAGTTCTGCTAGGGAAGCCTAAGGAAGACTACATGTAATTCTAGGGTCCAGAGTTCGGTGTTTGAGGCTGGCCCCTAAACCCTAAACCCCTAAACCCTAAACCCTAAACCCTAAACCCTAAACCCTAGACCCTAAACCCTAAACCCTAAACCCTAAACCCCTAAACCCTAAACAAAGGATTCAGGGTGTGGTTAGATACTTCAGGGCTTCAGGATGTTAAAGGCCCCAGGCCGGGGGTTCGGGAATGAGGTTTAGGGTTTAGGGTTTAGGGTTTAGGGATTAGGGTTTAGGGTTTAGGGTTTTGGGTTTAGGGTTTTGGGTTTAGGAGCTTTGGGTTTAGGGTTTTGGGTTTTGGATGAGGGTGCAGCTTGGGATTTTGCTCTAGAGTTTTTTGCGCTGTTTGCTTGGAGGTTGCTTCAGGCTTTCAGCAGCGGTGAGTCCATTGATGTATGAAAAACGTCTGACGATCTCCACCTACAGTATCACAATGTACCCCACAACGTAGTCAAAATACTCTCACTATTGCGTCATTCGGTTGATGGACAAAGTCCTGCAAGACCTTATATACCTAAACTATGGGATTTATGGTACTATACTATATTTGGGTCATGCAGAATTTTGTCCATCAACCGTTATTCTCCACAAAACACATTGAAAAAAAAGAGGCATCCTGATCCCTGGAGCCCCTAAACCCTAAACCCTAAACCCTAAACCCTATACCCTAAACCCTAAACTGAATGCAGGCCTCCTCCGCAGCAGCCGTGGGGTCCCACCTGATGTCACGGGCATCGGTTTTTCAGGGCATAGGTTTTCGGTTTAGGCTTTCGGGT